AATGTCAGTAATTAAAAGTGACTGGCGAAGCAGGCTTCAACCTGAAACCTTAACAGCATTAATGGCAATCAATTTATGTGATGATGAACTTGACACATTTGTTCCTGACAATGCAATTGACTTGTGGTTTCAAGATAGCAAAACAAGCAGAAGACCCCATACAAGACGATATGGATCTCGGGTACCAGAAAATGAGGCTGCATGGTCTGATGACGACGATCTTATAAAGAAACTTTAAACTATATTAAAACTTTAAAAGTGGTGCATTTCACAACAAGTTGGTGCAGGTAAATTTCAAATTCAACGTGCACACTGTGCATGCAGGTAAAAAATTCTATTTCAATCCCTGCAATGGCAAAGCTACAGAGAAATTGCCAACTGTAACAACAACGCCTTGATGTATTTCTTAAGAATCCTACTCGGCAATAAATGAACTGATCGGACTCGCACGACGTACGTACTTTTTGCATACAGTGTTTTTCGGAAACACTTTATTTGCAATTTAATAAAAATAATTTCACTTGTTGTACAATATTTATTTCATGACAATATTTTGATCAGAAAGGTGTTGTATTTGTAATTGATGACGATTGGTGTGTAAATAAAATACAGCAAGCAATGAAATTGTGTTTATTTTCTGCGTACATGTTTATTTCATTATCAATTATCCAAACAATCAATTATCCGAACTAATTTGTCCCTGCCCACTTGGTTCGGATAATCGAGGTTCCACTGTATATATAATGGAAATGATAAAATAAAATCTTCAATTTAACTTGCTTTGCTTTCAACTTTTCAAATATTATACCGTACTTATCCGGGCAAGAGCCCAGGGGGTCTTTTTTTACACAAAAAAACTATTTTCTATTCGTTGACTGTGGTTGTATTAACAGTTGACTTTCTTGAAGACTGTCGTGATACTTATAAAAATGTTAATTGCGTAAAACAAGGGGTGAACGCAAAATAGCTGTGACAGCTTTCTGCCTTCAGGGCATGCAGCACGTTCTGAATCACAACAGTCAGCAAGTCTATAAAAATATATATTAAAGCAGAAACGGGAGTTCTCTTTTTAAAATATGTCGTGGCCCTAAAAATGGCCGGCCGTTTGGTTTGTGCTTCCTTAGTAACTTAGAAACGATTCAGGAAATTCGTAAAAGTGTTGCACTCGATCGGCTTTAGCGCCGTCGACAATGAAACCAATGTTGCAATATTGTAGCAACCCGTACCTGGGAGAGTGGTTGAAATCACGTTATTTTGGCTTTATAAAATATTTTGTAGCAGCTTGCTAATCTATAACTGGGGTCAGCAATTTTGCAATGTCACGCCGAAGACTGCCAATTTTTTTACCATCTTTCATCACCGTCATGAAAATATTCTTCTGTCGTTGAATAAAAAAAAAAATTCCTATTTCAAGTCCACCGCGATATCCATATAGTGAGACATTCCAACTGCCGGAACTTTCACCGTGATCAATAAGCGTCGAGTCACGATTTGACCTTTATGATGAAATACTAGTAGTAATGTCATTATTAGCCAATCAGTAAAGCAGATGCATAAACGTCAAAGACGATTGCTAGACTGTAAACAAAAGCATCGTTTGCCATCGCAGCAGAGCGACCCCATTTTTCTTGTCTCTTTATTATGATTAAACATGAATGAAAAGTGCCAAGCTGACAGACTGCGAAATCCGTGGATTAAAAGTGCTAAGTCCAAATTGTGTGGGACGATATCGACGAACTTCAGGAATAAGTTGTAGGGATTTCGTTCGACGGCTAGAGTGACGCCGACTTGGACTTTGAGGGTTTTAGGTTTGACGAAGATGGCAATGAACGTACAAATAAAGATCTGAGAAGTTTTTTTTCAAACAGCTATGAATTTTTATCATTTTACTGTGTAAATTTGTAAATTATTATTGATCTTGTATGACGGTTGATGTGTAATTTGTCGAGACTGGAAATCATTTCACGCAGTTTAACCCCCGACATTTTAATTAATTTTGAGTTCACCCGTGTTTGTCGCGGGAAAATCCTAATTCAAATGATTCCTCACTGTCGATTTTTATTATTTCTGTTTTTTTGTCACATTATAAGCAATACATTATTTTTGTTCTACTTCTAGTGTTGCATATTGTTCATTTATTTCCAATGCATGTTTTCATTTGCCGTTCTATTCCCTGCCGCAGTTCGATCGAACTGCGTGTTGCCGATTTTCGCGTTTTTTTTGCCGGGGATCTCCTGGCAAACGCCCACCCCTTCTTTTTGGCAATTTTCCATGTTCAAGACCCTGGGCTTATACCCGGATAAATACGGTAAATGTCTTTATTAGGTAGGGACATTCCACAACTTGGGATGTGCCTTATTTTGCAAAAAGCTGGTTTGATTTGAAATGCCATAAATGCTCTTTTACAAGCATATGTGAACAGTTGATATACATGTGGAAAAAAAAAAATCTGTACCAAACTATTAAAATACAACTTGTTTTGCCCCATAAACGCAGCTCTGCTATTTACTTAAGCAAATAAGGTATTGTTAGTGCTTTCGTTAAATTAAAAGTATCAATGCCAATTTATGGACCTTTTTTTTTTTAATGTATTCTTTCCCTAAAATGTTTATATCTTTACTAAGTTCAATGACAAATGTTACAAAATGCTAACTTTTCTGTTTTTGATACAACAAGCAACGCAACCTATTAGCAGAATTAATGGAAAATAACGTTAATTAACGCTGGTCCTCTCCCCCCCCCCCAGGGGTCCCAGGCCACAGACAGTGAAAGACAGTTTTCTCAAGGCTGCAAATCAGATTTGTTCAGTCCATAATAATTTTGTAATTTATATACCACAAGCT